GCAGTGATGATCTGCTGCTGGAGAAGGCAAGGGTGTAGAGCGTGGTGATCCTAGGAGCTGGGATGCAGGATGCTTGACCCTTAGCCTTCATTCTTCCTGATGGTCTGCCTCCCACTCTGGAATGTTCATGAGGAGAAGGCCCTTCCTTGTCAGTTGCTGCTGTGAGACATGGTTCCCGGCACCTGATAGTCTCAGGAGTATGTTTTAAAGACCAAATACAGGTGTAAACAAAAGAATTGCTAAGGGGCTGGGGCTGGGGCTCAGTGGTGGAGCATGTGCCTCCCACGTGTGAGGCCCTGGGTTTGATCCTGAGCACCACATAAAAATAAATAAAGGTATTGTATCCATCTAAAAATTAAAAAGAAAAAAAAAACTTCTGTGGGGTCTAAGGAAGAAATTGTTGACTTGGATCTTGAACTTGGATGGGTAGTGATGACATTAAGAAAAGGTTCTACATTAATAAGAAGAGCTGCCTTGAGCCATATGAGGAGCCCGCCTGAGGCGCGTGGAAGCTCAGAGGCCAGTGGACACCTTTGTACAGGAATTCAGAGCTGGGAGGGAGTGGTTACTTGCTGGGTTGTGGTGGTAGGCAAGCCCTCGTGGATGTGGATTGGACTTCTGAGGCTCTAGGGGGAGGGACCCAAGGCACTGGTGAGCCTGGAAATGGACGGCTTCTTGGGGATGGCAGTGGGGAGTGTGGTGGACATGGAGGGGACACTGGAGGGACGTGTGGGTAGGCCACTGGCAGAGGTGGGTATAAGAGACGGCGCTGGGGTGCAGTGGTGCCTGGAGCTCGGCTTTCCTCATCTCTGCTGGACCAGAGGATCTAAGGGCCACACCCTGGACCAGCCTTGGCCACTGTCCCCTCCCTTCCCAGCACACGGCTTGTTTTAGCTCCATCAGTTTGGACTGTCATTTCCTGCTACGTAAAACCTGATGCTTGCCTTTCATTGCTGCCCATGCCAGGGCAGTGGGTGTCTCATGATGGCCAGTCATGCTGGGCCTGGACCTTAACCTCATATCTAAGTTTAGTTTAAAAGTTAACAAAGAAAACCCCAGGCTCGCCCCTGTTTGGCTGGGATCATGTTCATGAGGTTTGTCCTTTTATTTTTATCCTTGGATTTTTTGTTTTTTTGTTTTGGGTTTTTTTGTTGTTGTTGTTTTGTTTTGTTTGAGATGGGGTCTTGCTGTGTTAGAGAGAGAGAGAGAGAGAGAGAGAGACACACACACACACACACACACACACACACACACACACACTAGGTGTTATTAGAGACTGAACTCATGGTGTTCTACCTAGCACTCCCCCCCCGCAACCTTTTAATTTTGAGACAGGTCTCACTAAGTTGCCCAAGATGACCTTCAACTTGTAGTCCTCCTGCTTCAGCTTCCCAAGTCACTGGAATCATAGGCATGCACCACCATGTCCAGCTTATACTTAGATTTTATACTGTACTTTTTCTTTTTAATTCATGAGCAGAAATCAGGAAATATTTTCATTCAAAAAGGCTAGAATTTTAAAAATTCTAAGTATAGAAGTATTATATTATAAAATATAATTTTTACCACTTTATATTCAAAACTGATTTTTATGTTATACAAAAGGTTTATAAACTTCTCCTTGTTGAACAAAAGTGTTTTTTTAGCCTTTAGATGAATTTCATACTTTGGTTTAATCCTGGTGAAGTGAAAGCTGAAATATCCTACCTCTCAAAGAGGGTCTGTGACACACAGACAGCATCCCTTTTAGATGGTTTGTTTTTGCTTTTGTCTTTTGAGGTTGGAATGCAGAGATGAGGCAGGACTGATGCTGGAGCCTCTTCTTGGTGAGGCCTGGGGGTGGCTGCTCACCTGTACTGCACACACAGCAGCCCCCACCAGCTGCAGCTCTCGTGCTCCCACTGTGAAGCACAGAGGGTGAGAGGCTTGCTGGGAGATGGCCTGGCAGGCAGAACCCAGGCATTGGCTGCCCATTTCCTGCCGGTGACTGCTCTGGCCGCACAGCCCTGTGTCAGGAGCCGGGGAGGGAGCAGCAGGAGAGAGTTAGGGTGGACGGTGTGGCGCCCGCCTGGCTAGGATGAACGCAGAGGCTGTTGTGTCACTCATCTGTGTGGTGGAAGGTTGAGCAAATGCTCTCAGTTTATTTTTCCTTTTATTCCTAATCGCGACTTCAGATCTTTCCACTTGGATCCAGTGAAACTGTCCATTTATTCATCGAGTGGGTGTTTCCTTAGTACACACTATGTTCCCAGCATGGCCATGTTGCAGCAGCACAGACGTGGACAAGACAGACGAGGCCTTGCTGGCATGAGCTCACATTCCAGCAGGAAAGAGAGCCAATGCCTAAGTGGAAAGAAGAGAATAAATACAGAATTAACAGAGGCAGGGTTAGGGAGGAGCATCTCTGAGGGGGTGACGTTTGTAGATGAGCAGCGAGTGAGATAATGAGCCTTGGGGAAATCTGAGGAGTGGGTTCCAAGCAGAGGGACAGATGGTGTGGAGTGGAGGATCAGCAGAGACCAGGAGACTGCGCAGAGCCAGGGGGAGCTGTGAGGGACTAGGAGGGCTTCGGGCAGGGCTGGGGGCTACGGTCCCCATCTAGGTAGGATTTGAAGCAGGGGTGGGGGTGGGGGTGGGGTTGCTGTGCATAGTGCATAGTGCCTTGTGACCTGAAGATGATCTTGGAAGAGTCTCAGAGAAGGTGCTGCGTTGTGAGCAATGGCCTTGTAGCTTAGACTGGCCTGTTTCTCAAAGTCACTTTTCTTAGTTCCACACAACATCCTTGTGTATTCTCCCTTGTGTCAATCATCTGTATGGAGGGTGAGACTGTGAACCCCTGTGGTCAGCAGGTAGCACTTCCTCTTAGGGTGACTTGTCAAGTCTCCGCAGCAGATAGCAGCACCGTCGATGCTGGGGAGCAGAACTTCAGTTCTTCTGAACTCAAAACAGCGGCTGACATGAACTGGCGCAGTGAGACGTCTTCCTTGAAGCTTTGGCTGCAACATAGTCCCTTTGAATTTTATTTATATGTTTAGCAACAATATATCATTATTTTACATTCTCTGTATTTGAAGTGTTCCAGGAATAATCTAAATGAAAGTGAAGTTCAGAACTACATGTTTTATATCTTATTTCTGAGATTTGTTCTTATAACTTGAATTTTATTTCTATATTATATGTCATTACAGATGACCATTCATATACAGTCTTCTTCTCTTTTTTATCTAAAGTAGCTGAGGTTTCAGAAATGATTCTTCTTATTTGAATTCAGATCCTTCTGGATTTTATAAATTGAACCTGAATTTTTTTATGAATTTTTCAGACATGGTGATAAAATTCTGTGAAATATAAGGAAATACTGTTACCTCATCAAGTTTTATGTTTAAAAGGGTATTTGTCTGGAGGTAAACCCCCAAATTTATTCATTTATGGTTGAAGAATAGAAACTTCTAGTTAAAGTCTTTTTTTATATATATAATGAAGGTTATCAGTCACAAGATTCTTACATTTATAGTTTATAAGGAACTAGAAATTGTGTCAGTGGCCAGATGTTTTTGCACTAGGGCCAAGGCATGTGAGCTGCAGGAGTGGGCTGGTGGCACCGGCTCTTGGCACCTGGTGCAGCCTCGCCGCCGTCCTATACAAGATTTTGGGGAAGACTTTGTTGGGGGAACGTTTCTAAGGCATGCTGCCCACTGTGTAAAAGTAACCATCAGAAAATAGTTTGGCTTTTCTAGATTTATTCAAAACTTTCTTCCAAGATTTACATGATGGATTAAAAATGATCTTTTAAAAATACCTTTATTTCTTATGTGCTTGTTATGGATCACTGAATGAGGTATGGGAGTGAAGCATTCTGACGACTTGTCATCCAGGCCAACAGCAGTGACCTGGGGGCCCTTTCTGGTCAGGGTGTTGATATCAGGCTGAGTTACCCAGCAGGCCTCACAGTGTGCAGCCGTCACGCTACCAGGATTCCCATGAACAACAGAATGAACTCTAGTAACCGAAAGTTTTTATATCCGATGACTTCACTGGGACTTGTCTAGACCACAGTTCCTCTCTGAAGTCATGGCATGTTAGTTCTGGGGAGGGCTAATGAGATGTGCAACTCAGACGGCCTGAGTCTGCTTGCCACTGCAGCCATGGCTTGGGGTCTGGGAGGTTCAGTGACCTCAGCCTGGAGTGGGAGATGGTGGCCTGGGGAGGAGCCTCTCCTTGGTTTCCAAGCAGCACACTGTACAGAATCCTTCTTCTCCAGAAGTAGCAATGCATTGGAAAGCAATTTAATTCCTGCTCATGTTTGTCAGAGCAGACAAACTCCAGGAGGTACTACCTAGAGAGATTGTAGTCAATAAATTCGTAGTTGTTTGTATTGACTCTACTTGGCAAAGCAGTGCTGGCTTAAAAAAATAATTCTAGCAGCATGATCTTGCTGGTAAAACCCATGTGCCCCCAGATACCTAATTGTTGATGGTGTTCTGTTTGGCTCTGTGTGGTCTCCAACCTCAGCCATGTTAGTCACATCAACAATACAATGCAGTAGAAAAATGTTTTTTTTTTAAGCTGTTTTCTTGATTATTGACATAAACTGTCAGATGTAATTTAATGTAAATCCTGAATTCTGTAATACAGGTTCGCTGGCCTGTAAGTAATAGGGACTAGAATGTACCCATTCGTCCTGAGTCATCCGATTGCATTGATTGGCTTAGGTTTGTTCTGAGATCGGGACTGCAATAGCCTTGTCTCTGAGAAAGTGCCTGAGAAGTCTGGATGTGATTTGGTGTTTCAACAGTCCTGTGGGTGGTACATGGAGAAGTCAGTGTCCAGAGACCAATGTTAGCCCAACTTCTCCTCAACTCTGTGAATGTAGGAAGGTGATTTATGTCACTCATGACTTCCTGATGATTTAGACTCACTGGGAATTAATATAAGTGCATTGTATTTGGCGAGTGTTTCTCCCACAAGTACACTCTGCTCTAATCCTTGTACCTCTGCAGGAAGCTGCCCTCTGCAGACAGCTCCCCATGGAAGCCGAGACAATGGCCGCAGTCCAGGCTGCTGCAAACCCTCCTGCCATGACCCCAGATATGAGATCCATCACTAATAACAGCTCAGATCCTTTTCTCAATGGGTAAGTTAACATTTGGGGAACATTTAATTTTGCTCTATTTATTATGAAGTCTAGACTAAAAAGGGGTTTGGTTCACACTGGGAAAAGATAAGGAGCTTGAGGTTTGGGGTGAGAGTAGGAAGTAGGAGGAAATGGTAGAAAAAAGAAAAGCCAAGGAAGTCATCTGCCTTTTAAAAATTATATAGTCAGCCCCTAGTGCACAGTTTGAATCAGGAATGCATTTGTCATTTAAACAGGATGATGTTGTCTAGTGTTTATACCGGGAAGAATCTTGTGGCTTTCGGTGGCCACCTGGGGGATAAAAGCATGTCATGTGGCAAGTTGAGAACAAAATAATTAAAGATGATATTTTGATGGTGAAATGTAAATAAGGCTATAGGTTAGTTAGTAGGATTTCACATCATCTGTTCCCAGGCTTCTATATTGCACTGTGGCTGTGTGGGATGCCGTCGTAGAAGAAGTTGGGTGAAGGGAGCACGGACTGTAATCTCTATAATTGTTTTGCATCTTCTGTGTGTGTTTAAAATTATTTTATAATTAAAAACTTAATTAAAGTAGATGATGTTTCTTTAAAAAACAAACAAAACGAAGGAGCAGAATAAAGAGATGCTTTTGGGCAGTGGTGTCTGCATGTGCAGATGTCAGCATCGCCTGTGGCCTTTTAAGCACATGGGGGCCACTCTTTGTTCCCCCATGTCCTAGTGCCCTCGCGGGTGCTTCTGGCAAAAGAATACAAGTAAAGACAGGTAAGAAAACAAACATGAACTGAAATAATGAAGGTATGGGTGTTTTAAGTTGTTGATTTTAAAGTACAGAAAAGTGTAAAGAATAACATGGAAGTTACTAATTTACCCACCACCTAGATTTGCCATATTTCCGTCCAGTCTTATTTTTTTTTTTAAACAGGGGGGGGGGAATTTTTTTTTTAATATTTACTTTTTTTTAGTTCTCGGCAGACACAACATCTTTGTTGGTATGTGGTGCTGAGGATCGAACCTGGGCCGCATGCATGCCAGGCGAGCGCGCTACCACTTGAGCCACATCCCCAGCCCCAGTCTTATGTTTTTATAAATAAAGTATTACACTTACCATGTGAAGCCATCCCTCCAATACTGAACTCTTGTTTCTTTCCCTCTTCTCTTCCTCATGTAGCCACTATGCAGGAACTGGCATATGCCCATCATGTATATATCTTTTGTTAGTGTGTATATCCATAGCAGTGTTGAATTTTGTTTTCTGTTTTTTTTTTTTAAATCCCACATAAATGGTATCATACTCTGTTTGTAGAACAGTATCCAAATGGTTATTTGAAGATGGAAAGAAAATCAAGGGCCATTCATCATGAATAGCCAGTTTTGCTTGCTTACAATTTGATTACATTAACATCAGAATGTATATTTCAGAGTGAAGGGAGGTGCTATCTTCTCCCTTCACTACCTGGAAAGTTGAGCCAATGACAGAGCCACACTGTTTCTGGGGTTGTGATGCGACTGTGTACTGCATTGAGTGGGTCAATGATGTCTCTCCCTCTTTTGCTCGCAGGGGGCCCTACCACTCAAGGGAGCAGAGCACCGACAGTGGTCTGGGGTTAGGGTGCTACAGTGTCCCCACCACCCCTGAAGACTTTCTCAGCAACGTGGACGAGATGGACACAGGTGGGGCACAGCCTGTCAATGCTTGCAGTGTGTTTTCACTTTCAATTTGTCCCTTTGTCACCTTAACTCTAAAATCCAACCAGAAACACGAAATCTCAATGACAACATAAAATGACTCCTGAAAAGCTGCGCAACCCACAGGCACTATTAATTAATCAATTCACTATTAATGAACTCCAGCCTCTTTCCCAGATCTTCCCAAACAGTTTCATACATGGGCACAGGATTTTAATTACTGTTTTTTAAAAGCTCATCTCTGCTCCTCATAGCCCCTTGCTCACGGTTGTACTAAGAGACCTGTCTGCTTTACCACTCTTCTGCCATTGCTCCTACTGTCCATAGTTTTAAAGTATAATGCACAGACCACTTTTTGTCCTGGAAAATGTTCCTAGTTAACAGTTCCGCCAATCACATATGTTTCCATGTTATTCCCTGCATTTAGGGAGCAACTGGAAGTAGGCATGTAGAGAGGTAAGTCACTCTGAGCATGTTACGCTGTCGACTCGGAGTTCCATGATGGTGATGATGCCCTCCCTTGCAATTAAAAAGAACACCAGAATAACTTCTCCCTGGTCCTCAGCCTGTGCATCCTCAGGCCAGGGCTTGGCAGGCTTTGAGAATGCCTCCTACCCCATTTCACTACATAATCATTGCAGAATTTATGCTTCTTGTATGTTTGTTTTGCAAAAAAGCAGGGCGCAACCATTTTGTGAAGCTTTTTTTTTTTATTATTGTGCCGGTGTTACTTAAAAATAAGTTATTACTAAATTATTTTTTTATGCAAGATTAGGATGCACAGAATACTGGAGAATATATGTCAATGCTGTGAAATACAGTACTTCTCCCATTCTCTAGGAGGGAGCCCTCCAATGCAAAATCTGAATTTAGTCTTATTTGCTTAATCCAGACTTAATTATGAAACTCATAACTCCCAGAAAGTATTCTAGAACCAGAACCAATTGACAGCTGAAGCTTCTACTCTTTGGAGTTAAACAGGCAAGTTTCTCCTCCATTGTCATGGATGATAGAAAATTAATCGTTCTGTGACAAAAATTGAAAATTGCTTCCCCAAGCGTTTGTCTAGAGTGCCTGCTCCTAAGTGACTCCTTTGTGCCGTGGTCCCTGTTGTTGGGGGGCCTGAGAGTCAGACCAGCCAGGTCCTGGGGTGCGGCAGGGAGCAACTCCTGGGCTGGGTGGTCCTGCGGCCTTGCTGTCCGACGGCCGCACAGTGGTCTCCTGAAGAGCTGAACAGAATAGTTTGAACTATCATCTTACTGTTCTTCAATTCATTGCTGCTGTTTTCTCTCTCCCCTTCCCCTTTCATCCTTCTTTCCTTTTTGGTGTTAGGTTTATTTTGCTCCCTTGGATCGGCCTGATTAAGGGGCTCCTTCTTATATAATAGCTGTTTACTTTCATCTTTTAAACACAAGGAAGCCAGTAAGGGCAAAAATCAAAAGTTAGATAAGGAAAAAACCTCTGGAGATCTTAAAAAAACGAAAAGAAACGAAAAGAAAGAAAGGATTCTTTTCCATGTTTTAAAAATTGTGACCTCAAGTCAGAAGACGGGGAGTGTTATGAACCATAAGGTGGAATTAAATGGTGTCTTGAAAAGAAAATGGTCTTAGCAGACAGGTAACCTGGGTTGAAGCCTTGCTTCTCTACTTTCTGGTAGCTACTGTGGGCACCTAACCTCTGTGGGCCTCATATTCTCACCCATGAAGTGGGAGCAATGTGCTCACTTTATATCACGGGTCCAATCCTAGCACAAAAATCTGCCCCTCTATCTAAGAAGCTGTGAAAGGGACTTAAGTTTAGGGCCATCTCTGTGAAGTCTTAAAGGAAGTGGGCATTAACCCTCTCAAGGGGAGACATGCTGCCACATAGCAAGCAGCTGAGGAGAACCAGGGAAGGCAGACCTCAAGTGTGGCTAAAAGACATCCGTTAATCCTGCTGAGCACACGTTGACCATAGGCCAGATGGGAATGGGCCAGCTGAGCATTCCCTCTTCACCATGCACACCAAACAACAGCTGGGCTTGGTGTGAGGACAGAGCACAGGGACCAGCATGAGCAAAAGCTGGG